TGCCCCGCCGTGCCTCCTCCGCCGTCTCCTCCGACGGCCGCGAGGATAAAGCGGAATAAAGGAGGGACGCACACGCGGGCCACGAAATCGTCCGTGATCGTTATAATCCCCCGTAGACGTGGGACGCGGAAAATAAATCCGACACTTATACGCTTTCGTGGCCCACGGCCGGATTAATCGTTTGTGTTTCAACTTCCATTCACGGCGCTGACTTTTGTGCCGTTCGCGGTCCGCCGGCCATTGTTGAACGGAGGAGGATTATTCGGTCGGCGAGGCCGGGTTGAGTTATAGCCGGCCGTCGGCCCGTCTTCTTCTTCTTGTTTCTTGTCGCTCTCGACTCGCCGATTGAAAAGGAAACGAAAAACCAAGAGGGGGATCGCTTTGTGATCGTTGCCCCGCGACCGTGGACCGAGAGGAGAAGAACCTTGACACCGTGGCTCGAGTTTCTGGGAACTCGAAAAGACCACCGGCAATCGCGACAATTTCCGAGACTGTAAATCTCGGGCTTAACGCGACGCGGAATGCGAATATTCGTGGTGTCGCGTGACTAAATTAACGCTGGGTCATCGCGTTAACGATACAACAACAGATAACTATCGTTCCGAAGTGTTTGAAAACGTTTGCATCCGTTCCATCTAAATGCCATCGTTTCAAGCCCAGTCTCCCTTCGTCATTTAAATTTCACTACCATCGCGACATAAGGAATCTCCGTTGGTCCTCGAGCCAAGCGTATCAGACCCATCTCCATCAAACTAACCGCAAATTCGTTTCGTTCTGTTCCAGCGGTCTGCAAAGAGGGCTGCCACCCGGTGCACGGCCACTGCAACGTCAGCGGCGAGTGCAAGTGCCGTCACGGTTGGCGGGGTGAGCTCTGCGATCAGTGCACCCCCTATCCGGGCTGCAAGCACGGCTACTGCAACGGGTCCAGCTGGCAGTGCATCTGCGACACGAACTGGGGCGGGATCCTCTGCGACCAGGATCTAAACTATTGCGGCACCCACGAGCCCTGCCAGAACGGGGGCACCTGCGAGAACACCGCGCCGGATCAATACAAGTGCACGTGCCCCGAGGGATTCTCGGGGCCGACCTGCGAGAAGGTCGACAACCCGTGCGCGTCCAACCCCTGCCTGAACGGCGCGACCTGCAAGGAGCTGGGCGAGAGCGCGCACTGCGAGTGCGCCGCCGGTTTCAGCGGGCCCTACTGCGCGACCGACATCGACGAGTGCGCTTCCCAGCCCTGCCAAAATGGCGGCACCTGCGTGGACGGGAAGAACGGGTTCGTCTGCAACTGCCCGACCGCCTGGCAGGGCGTGCTCTGCCAGTTCGACGTCGACGAGTGCGCCCTGAAGGAGTCGCCGTGCAAGAACTCGATGACCTGCTCGAACCTAGCCGGCGACTACAGGTAAATTGCACGCCTCTTACGTTGCCACTTTCCCCGTTGCGCAACCCTTTCATCTCGAGGGCACCCGAGGCGATCATGGAAAAATCGAACTCGTCGCTTTTCCTTGAGATCGCGAGTTTCGGGAAACTGAACGAGAACCGTGGTCGTTTGATACTTGGACACCGTCGCGTGGTGTGAAGATCTGGTACCTGCGGATGATGGAACACAGTGGTTCCGGGCGGAGAAAAAGGAAAGCCGTGGGAGATTGTTCTGAAATCTACGATCGAGAGGAGAGGCATATGGAAAGATATATTGCGTTTTGTTTCCACTGAAAAGGATCTTTAGGAAGACACTTTAACCCTTTGCGCTCGGAAGTCTTTGACTAGAAATGTTTAACATTTTTCAGTGAGTTATAGGCATTTTTTCAGACGAATTGAGTGAAAAAACATGTACGTTAACACTAGGTTTACGGAACGCGTCAATTTCACGCATATTGAATTTCATATTACGTATATTTGCTTCGTCGGTACTATCACCAGAAAAATGTGCCGATCGTAAAGGATTAAGAGACCGACAGCTTCGGCTTGTCTAGGAACGCGCGACCGCTGGATTCACAGCGCGGATTTAAAAGCGGCTGGCAACGGATCCGAGGCTGAATTAGAACGTCTTTACCCGCGGAGCATTGAAAATATCGCGGGATGAAGGTAACCGGTGAGCGGCGCGGCTCGCGTTCGGTCGTTTTTAAGGCGTTGATTTTTCAGCTGGTGCACCCGGTACGCGCTAATTAATCCGGCGGAGTAGAACGTAACTGCCCTGACGCAAGCCGCCGGAGAATTTATTTATTCGGTCGTGGTCTTTCCATACGCGAACGGTATCCGATCCGTCGCGGAGCGAGTGGGAAATGCGTAACGCAGAAACCCGGGTAGTTACTTTCAAGACCGATCGAACCATCTGATTATTGCCCGAGCCTGAATACCATCGACGGGCATTTTCTGCGCGCCGTTTTCCCCCCTTTTCGCGAGCGCGCCAAAACCGGGGCCCCGTTTTAACAACTCCACCGCCGAAGGATTATGGAAATCCGTGGGAAGAATTAATATCGGACGCACCAATAAGCCTCTCGGACAATCGTTTCGAAAGAGTCCACGGTATTACGTTAAGCTCCTCTAAGGATATAATCTTCGGAGCGCAGAAAGAAAGCCGGCAGCCCGCGTACGCGGAGAATTCACGACGCGAATTTTTATATTGTTTACCGCGCAGCGCGTAATAAAATGAATTCGAAGCATTACCCCGGTACGCGCACGCGACGGGAATGAATAAAATTTATTTTACATCGCGCCGTCCGCTTTAGTACCGAGCCGAATTACTGCGAAAGATTCTGGGGTACATTGCCGACTCGTACAGACGCGAGGGAATGGTTTCTCGAAGCGAACGCTACCTTCGCCGCGAGAGATTTGGAGAGGTCGATCGAAGATCTTCGTATCTGAAATTGGAATACCGATTAATGTAATATTCTAACACTAGAACTACCGAACGGGCAAAATGACCCACTCCTGATTCTTTCTTTTCGCGATTATTAGAAACATAGCAAATGCTTCTGTGACTTATTAACGCGTTCGCTACCAGCGCTTATTTCAGGGACGGTCTCCTCAATTATATTTTCTTCGATGCAATAAATCTTCTATAGAAAATCTTAGAAAAATGAAACTGAAACAAATCATTGAGTTCTTAAATATAGTGTCGTAGCTTATCATTTCTAATAACAATATCTATAAGTTTCATTTCACTTTCGAGAACGAGATTTAATTTGAAGATTGACACTTTGAGTCAGAATAGTCCCAAGTACCGTCCAGTGGTAAAATTACAATATACGAAGCAAAGTGAACTAATACAATTATCGGAATAAAATAATGGTTTCGAATATCTGTAGCGAACGCGTTTAGCGAAAGTCAGATAGAATCGGCACGATCAACGGAATATAGACCAAATCGGAAAGCAACGCGCAACTTTGTTTTCGCCATCGTGAACCGTCGACTAGAGAATTAGACGTTTCGGTTTGATTCAGCTCAGGCAGTCAACGCGTTAAATAACAGGAGAAAAGGAAACCACGTGCCGATCTCTTGCCGTTCGAGTAATCAAATCATTTGTTCGCGACATAGTCTTCCAAATATGAAAACTTCATCTCGCCGAAATCTCGACATTCCTCCATAAAGAGTTGAACCTGGCCTTCATAAAAATTCTTCGGTGCTTTATCCTCACTTCAATGATCGTGTCTCACTTGTCTTCAGGTGTCGCTGCAGGAGCGGTTTCACGGGGAAGAACTGCACGAAGAACATCAACGACTGCGTGGGCCAGTGCCAGCACGGGGCGCTGTGCATCGACCTGGTCGACGACTACCACTGCAGCTGCACCGCGGGCTACTCGGGCAAGGACTGCGACGTCGACATCGACGAGTGCGCCTCGAAGCCATGCCAAAATGGCGGGGAGTGCAGGGACCTCGTGAACGCGTACGAATGCGTCTGCCCGGTCGGGTTCACCGGTTACCAGTGCGAGATCGACAGGGACCACTGCAGCCCGAATCCGTGCCGGAACTCGGCGCCCTGCTTCAACACGCAGACCGACTACTACTGCCACTGCCCGGTACAATGGCAAGGGAAGAACTGCTCGGAGACGGCCTCCCACAATCCGCAGTTCGGCGTCACGGACGAGGAGGCCGGCTGCGGCAGCGAGGGAACCCCGTGCGGCGGTCGCGGCAGATGCAGCGGCGGCAGATGCATCTGCGACCCCGGCTACACCGGGATGCACTGCCACGAGAACATCAACGACTGTCGGGGCAACCCATGTCTGAACGGCGGGACCTGCGTTGACCTGGTCAACTCGTTCCAGTGTATCTGCAGAGAGGGATGGACTGGAGACCTCTGTGATCAGGGTGGGTACTTGTGTACGTCGTTATATGAATTTCTGTAGGGTTGCGTGCATTGTTTCAGTGTTTCTTTTCGTAGATAAAGAGTAAGATTCTGGAACTGAGAATGCTGTATTGTTTACTGACTGGGGATACATTGCTAACTCTTTAGCTACCCTCCCTCGAGTATCTGATTGACACGTTCGCTGCCAGGGTTCGTTTCAGTGGCGATCCTCTCAATTGTATTTTATTCAATGAATCTTGTAAACAAAGTATTGGAACAAACGAAGCTGAAGTCATTGAATCCTTAAATGTAATTTTGTAGCTTATAGCTTTAATACGTTGAGTGTAATGGGGTCACCGGTGATCTCCAACCAAATCGAATTACCTAAGTGACATTTAGCTAGATGAACGTGCAATAATAATAATGCAATTCGATCAGTATTTTGCTCTATGAAATCGTGCGGCATTCAACGTGTTAAACTCTTGTCCTATGATTTTCTGGACTGTGATTGATGTAACTGCTTTGCTATTAATAATTTATTCAAAATAAGAGAAAATTCCAGTCTTATTCTATGTCAATATTGCATTCAAACAAACTGAATAATATTTGCGTTTATTAAATTCCACTTGAAATCTTCACCACGGGTCTGACACGATATTGTAGGTCAAGGGGCCGACTAACTGTATCTACACAATTAATTTCATTTTCTTTATATAAAATATAGGACCGCTGCCGTCACAAATACGTGACAGTAGCGAACGTGTTAAAAGATTCCAATAAAGATACTATTATAAACCGAAGCTAACAGCGACTGATTCATCGTTGCAGACGTGGACGAGTGCATGAACGCTCCGTGCCGCAACAACGGTACCTGCATGGACGGGGTCGCGGACTTCACCTGCATCTGCAGGGGCGGTTGGAAGGGCAAGACATGCGCATTGCGTGGTGGTCACTGCGAGCCAGGCACGTGCCGGCATGGTGGCACTTGTCAGGACCGCGGGGACAGCTTCACTTGCCACTGTCCGCCAGGCTGGAAGGGTGCGGCTTGCCACATAGCATCGCCAGCTTGCGCGAGCAACCCCTGCGAGAACGGGGCGACCTGCGTGAACACGGCGGACGGGAACTACAGGTGCGTCTGCCGGGAAGGATTCGAGGGTCCGAATTGCCGGCGGGACGTGGACGACTGCCAGCCGTTGCCCTGCCTGAACGGCGGCAAGTGCGTGGACGGGATCAACTGGTTCAGATGCGAGTGCGCGCCGGGATTCACCGGGCCGGACTGTCGCATAAACGTGAACGAGTGCGCGAGCGACCCGTGCACGGGCGGCTCCACCTGCGTCGACGGCATAGCGAGCTACTCGTGCGTCTGTCCGCCCGGCAGAAGCGGGTCGCGCTGCGAGATCCGCACCGCGGGTGGGCCAGGCTGCATGGTCGCCAGCTGGGACGACGACTGTAACATCTGCGAGTGCCGGAACGGGAAGAATCAATGCAGCAACATCTGGTGCGGTCCCGGGAACTGCTTGAACGGCACCTCTTGCCTGGCCCACGAGGTCTGCGTGCCTAGCCCGAGCGAGAGCTGCCTCGCGCCACCCTGTCCAGCCTGGGGCGAGTGTAGACCGGTAGAAACTGGCAGAAGGGTGGGTCCACCAGCGTTACCGGCTCCACCTTCCTGCTGGCCCGGGCAAGCCACCCCAGGCCCAACTTGTTCGAGACTGACCATCTTACTCAGGAGAGACACCCTAGCCGCGGGCACCTCCGTGGAGATCCTCTGTAGACGCCTGAGGAAGCTATTAGCAGACCCGAGGAGGCCTCAGTCGATCGTTCTCTTATGCGACTTGAAGCCAGGTGACAACGACACGGTCGAGGTAACCATTTTCTCCGAAGCGGCTGCTGACGCGGCCAGAGACCTAGGCGAGGCGCTCAGCAGACCCCTGGGTAGACCTCTCGCCCTGGCCTCCGTGCTGGAGGTCAAGGTGGAGACGGCGTTGCTCAGCGAACCGAGCTCTGCGAATGCCAGCAGTGCTGGCAGTTACGTGGCCGTGCTGGGCGGTGCTCTCGCCACTGTCCTCGTGCTGGCTTTGTTCGGCGGCCTGTGGTACCTGCGGTCCGTCAGGCAACGCTCGAGCCTGACCGCTACCACCAGCAGCGAGACCTCGCTGCACAGACACCGCAGCGACCTGGACGAGAAGTCGAACAACCTGCAGAACGAGGAGAACCTGAGGAGATACGCGAACCCGTTGAAGGATCAGGACCAAGGCGAGCCAAGGGTGTCCGTGGTCAGGCCGCTGTCCGGGACGTCATTGGGCGCTCTCGGCGCGACTGAGGAGAGTCTCGAGATGGTCTCCGAAGAAGGGAGACACCGACTGCCGCCGCTCTACAAGCCGCCCAGCGCCGAGGCGAGGAACAACACGGCCAGCTTCAGCTACGAGGAGGGACCCCACAAACCGTACACCAAGCCCAGACTGCAAGAGCCGTCGTACTCTTCTCATCAGCAACCAGGAACCAGTCAGACATCGGTGCCGCATCAAGTGTTGACCGTACACGTGTAAGCTCGGATATCGAGCCGATCGAGCGCCGGATTTATGGACACTAAGAGAAAAATCTATGGCACCGTGTGCCCCTAACGAAACGAACCGCGAGGATGTTAGGCGTCGACGATTCTTCTCCGTTAGAGTTCGCGGGCCAGGGGTAAATCACACGGATGCAGGTGATTGGAGAAGCGAAATGAAGATTCTTCTTGCGAGATTTTCTACCTTGAACACTGTGGATGGAATTAACCTTTTAGCGACTGTTGCGGTAGCCTTCAATTTCATCTTTTGGAACACCGCTGTAGAAGCTTTGTTAAACCATGTTTTATGGGGAAGACCACTATAGGACTTGCCTCTTTTCTAACTTTTTACAACGGAATCAATGAAGATACAATTCATGCGATCGTTACTTCGTTACTTGGTCAGCTACCGGGTAGCTGGAAGGTTACGTTGATCCGCTGTGCATTCGAGGTGTGCACTTCACGCTCTCCGTGTTCGCCCATCGTCCGCGCTCCCAGCGATTCCACGATACACGACAATAACCGATCGACGATACATAGTTGTATTGATAATGCCGAGTCGTTCTATCGTTGTACATATGTACATAGCTCGTACTTATTAATTTCGCTAAGCCTGTATCTCCATCACCCGCTCTCCCTCGTCCTCTAACCCCTTCTCCTCCCTATCCTCATTCCTAGAACTTTCTTAAGGTCTAAGATTCGACGTTGTATCCGCGTTAACCGTGGATCATGGATCGATCATGGTCCCTCCACCGTTCATCGAAACTGTACCGCAACGTTGCCCCAACACCCAGCAGAGAATCATTTCAAAAATCGACTTCTCTGCTCCGTAACGTCTCGCTACGGTGTCGAGGTGGAATTGCGAACAGCGTGGACGTACGTTCCGTCGGACGATATTATTGTGATACTCGTAGAAAGAGAGAGAAAGAGAGAATATCGTGCGTGAGACTTTCTCGTTCTCGCCCCGCCATTGCCCTGTCCTGCTCCTCTCGGACCTAGACGCGATTTCTAGCGATCGACGGCGATCGTTGCCGGAAGAAAATCTTCGGACACGGCGGAAAATCGCAATGGTCGTTCGTCTCCTAAATTCTAGATCATTTCAGATTCTGAATTCTCGGAATTTTTGAACAGCACCCGCGGCAATCTTATATCTCTCCTCCCGAGAAACGAATGGTAAAATTGTTTTCGCGACGCGAGAACGACGACGAGCCAGTCGAACAGATTTTCTTCCTCGGTTAGAAGAACGATCGTCGAACCCCGTGTAGCTTGTTGCGAGTATTTGCGTATTAGCGTTCCCAGCGGTTCCCACAATTCGGGACCGACAAAATGGCGTATCCCATTGAACGACGATTGACTCGACCGCCGCCATATTGGAGCGCCAAGATGGCGCGCGGTCGGTGTAAATAAACCCTCCCGAGGAGACAACAGGCTCCAAATCGCGCCCGTTTTTTTCTTACCAGACTCCCTCAGACATTCCCTGCTCCTACATTTCCCCTTCCCTCTTAGATGTGCAATTTTGTTCATGTAATCTATTCTTCTCCTTTTTTTAAGTATCGCCTCCGCGGCGCGTCGCGGCCCACCTTGCCGCGCGAGGCCGCTCGCCAGGCGCACTAGACGTTAAACGAAGGCGAAGAAGTTAAAGATAGCTCGTAATTAGGCGGTACCCCCTAAGTTCTAGAACGGAAGGACGAAAAAAGAAGAAGTTTTTATAACAGATACTTTATTTTATAAAGAAATCTATATATTATTATACAAAAGTATATATATAGAACCGATGGAAATATATATATAAATATATATATATATTATATTATTTTATATTATATTATTTTTATTTTATCGTCTTGTATTAATTGATTAAGCGGCCGCGGACAATGGTTCCTCGAATGGTTCCTTATTTACGGGCGCGCGTCGTTCCCATTCGGCGCGCGACGAAATTGCGTCGCATGTCCGAGGAATTAGTGCCCCAGGCCTCCGGCAACGTAGATAGCTAATGGATAATCGAATAGATGTGATCAGCCCCCCTTCCCCCGTCCCGCAGAACCGCCAGCCCCCGCACCTGTCAGATACCGAAGGAAAGTGTGTGCGTTTGCGAACTAATGTGCGTGTAAATAAAATAAGCTCCTTCCGTCCCCCCATTTCCCTCCCCTCACGGTTCTTCTCGCCTAAGGTAAACGAAGATTGAGAAAGTTTCAATAAAAAGTACAACCCTTCGAGACCGTCTGTCTTTTCATTCCATCGTGCCGCCCGGTACCCGACCGACTCGACGAACGAATTCTCTCACGTGGAGGAGCTGTGTCCGCGACGACGGTGTTGCATTCAAATCACCGGGAACGCAGAATCGACGGTAAACGTGCCTTCCGGGAGCAGCCGCGGGACCTCGACAAACGCAGGACCGTTTCTCTGTGTTAACACCTCGCCGTGCCAGTCGAATTCGGTCGACGCAATTTTCGATACGGATTTGAAAGTCGGATTGCTTCGGTGATAGAGTTTTTCGGGTTTTCAGCGGAATTTTCAGTTTCTGTCTCGTTTCGACTATTCTACGGGAGTTCGATGGTTGTCTGTTCCATTCAATAATCTTTAGGATTGTAAATTTTACACGATGTACAGGGTGTTCACATTATAGCGGAACCAATGGGAGTAACCGCATTAAAAGAAAATAGGTCGACAGCATAGAATATGTTCTCGAAGATCAAGCTTCGTCTAACTTCGAAACTTCCACCGGCGATGTCGTTCGAAGCGCGTTTCGAAAATATATCTAAAACCATTAAGAATCTAAATAAACCTGGTCGCTTTCCAATAATCAAATGCTCGCGTATACTTCGTAGAGTTCAAATTAAACGCGATAGAAATCATTGGTATCAAATTGCAAGTAGTCCTTGCTTCATTCGTGATTCAGGATTTCAGGGTCGAAAATCCCGAGCGCGGATCCCTTCGTTTCCCGAAACAATGGCGGGTAAACGGTCGAGAAGCCTCGGTGAACAACCTCGGATATCGTGGACGCGCCACAGATTTCAATAGATCGTTTCATTGAGGATAATGCTTGTTCATTATCATCGAAAGCGCGTCTGCCGATCAACAAAGGGCCGCGGTGCGGGCAATTTCGTGGCCGAGACAACAACGGTGGGCATCGGGGCGGCGGTTCGGCCACGGGCAGCCGACGCACGGGGGCCGCGAACGCCCGCGTGACCGTGTTGAATGAACGATCTGTCGAAATTACAATACAATGGCCCAGAAGAGCCACTTGACGAATACCCGGTAAATGAGTCAGCCCTGACGGTGGCCGAATAAGGCCCGTGTGAACCGCGTATGTCCCGAGGCCGACGCCGCGCGACACACGCTTTGAGAAAGGCTGAAGCAAGGTTGCTTAACTGCTCTATCCACGCGAGTAGTGCATACGCAGCAATCACCGCAACCGGAAAAGAGATCCGACGCGTGTCAGATCGTTTGTCGGGCCGGAAAACCCGGAAAACCCGACCTACTTTCAACAACCGTCTAAATTATCAATTTGATTCGGGCGGTTGTTGTCATTGATGCTACTCTTTAGATCGGAGTTTCCCGACAGGGGGGCGGTTTGATTTTTAACCCTCTGTAGGCTCATGTAACTTTGAAGTCACATATCAGTGTATCGGCATCTTGTTGGTTTATTTCATTTTGCACTGGAAGTGGCCAATAAAATAATTAGTTAACTTCAACTTTTGTACGCTCAAGCGTGAACTAATAAATATCTACATATGAATACGAATTAAGAATGTATTCAATAGTTTCAATAATTTCATCAAACGAATATATTTTGTAACTTTCAAGTTACAATGACGTTAATTTTGTACTGCGTAGATTTTGTTATAATCATGAACAAAAATTCGGCCCATAGAAGGTTAAGGGAGGCAATTTGAAATTTGAAACATCACTTCATACATTTCACAATATTTACGCGCGTAAATGAAATAGCAAAACTATTATAATAAATATTATAAAAATATTATAATATAATAAAATATATATAATCTTGGAAAAGCTTAGGTGAGACATGGCAGAGAAAAAATTGGGAAACACTGCTTTAGATAGACTCGAGCTAGAGTCGAAACCTACATTTTACTGTGGAAGAAGGGAGAAGAATTAGGTGTGCAAGCTTTCGAATGAAATTCGGACCGACTTTCTTAACACATTCACTGCCACGAGAACAAAGGCGCAGACACTTTAACGCGCAAATTCTTTAATCATTTCTTTAAGATCTGATTTAGTAATACTTAAACTGAAATATAAACCAATTGAAATCTTAATAAATTCACGCTTTTAGTATTTATAAAGAAATCTTGAAAAGACGGTTTAAGTGCTCGGTAGTTCCAGTGTTAATCAACTTCGAAACACATCATATGTCGATGATAAAACACTGAGTGCAACCTGAATATTCGCGCTTGTCACTGGATGCAATTTCCGTCAGCTGATGTGCATTGGAACGCGCCATCCGTGGAAGACTAAAATTTAGATAAGAAATTGACAAAGCAAATTGAGTCGGTAGAAGTCATCGAAGCGATTCGGTATTTGTCGCGCAACTTATTGCTAACATAGGAATTCCCCCAAGGAAATTGTACTTTCTACGAACACGCGACTAGTAAAATTGGATGCTACCCAGTTCACCAGGTGAATCGTAAAAACGGAGAGTCAGGTAAGTTTACGTGACAACGCAGTCCCTTCCAGGAGGTTCACGGTTCAGTGGAATCGTTTTTCAGGGCGCAGACGACGACAATGTTACCGAAATATCGGACTACTCCGATTACAAAATATGGCCGTCGTACCATTACGAAGATGAAGCTTCATGCTACGAGGGTGAAGCGGAAGCTGAAGAGTACGATGAGAAAATAGAAGACGAAGAGGAAACAGGAAAAGAAGAGAGGGAGAGGTTGAAGCCGCAGGAGCTGATCGACATATTCGCGGATCTAGTTCTGCAGTTTCGCGACAAAAGAGCCGAGAGAATCGCTGCCAAGGCTGAGGAAAGGAAAGAGAAGCTGCGACAGCTAATTGGCGTAATTCTACTTTGGTAACAGTAGTGTCGAGACACACCTGTCTCGATTAACCCTTTGCACTCGGAAGCTTTAGAAATATCTTAACATTTCCCGACGAGGTATAGACGACATTGTTCGAAGCTAATTTAACGATAATTCACAGATAAATTAAGCAACAAATCTATTTTAACACGGACGCCGCGCGATTCCATGGAGCAAAATACAGGAAATGGAAGAAATCAAATATTCAATAATTCGATTGAATTGTATTATTATTGCAGCTTCATTTAGCTGAATGCCACCGTATTAGTATTATTCATAATATAGAAATGTTTTCAGATAATCATCGTTTGATTGGACTACAGTAATTCGATTTATAGTAATTCACCGGTGACCACCGTGGCATTCGAAGTTAATTAAATATTTCACATAGCAATACAAAGTTTCATTTAGAACGCTAAATATTCAACTTCATAGTTTTGCTGTATCAAATCAACTGGTGAGAGTCACCTCTCGAGTGCGAAGGGTTAAACGACATCTTCAATCTCCGTGTGGAAATTCCAGTTGAAGAAGAAAACGGAAGGTTCCGAGGAAACTTTAATCACGCCGGAAGAAGAGATCGACGATGACGGCACCGTGTTGTCTTCGGACGGTTCTCTTTATAACTGTCTAAAGGACATCGAGATCAGCAACTCTCAGTTGAAACTGCGCGATCTTGACGTCGCGTTTCCGGTGCCCGATGATCCTGGCGTGATACCTGCGTTCTGGATCATCCGCGATCACTCGGACAGCTACACCGACTGCGTGGATCTGTTCGTAGACCTGGTGAAGCGGGCCAAGATTCAACCTATAAAGGCGGTCGAGGAGATGTTGCTATCCAATAAAATCGGTCTGCAGTATTACGGGATCAATCCGAGGATCGTTAGACCTCTCTGCGAAGCTTTGATGTCCAACCATACGGTGGAAGTGATCGATCTCACGGTAACGCAGGCTTTTCGAGTACTTCATTAGTATTTCGCAATGTCTAAAAATAAAAAAACTTGCTAAAAGGTATTATAATCCTTGCTTCACTTGAGATGGTCCCTTCGGTTTCTTGTTCTTTGGACGGGTCGCGGTCAAGCTAATCTACCACAGTGATACATGTGGCCTCTGACCTCCTGTCGCACAGGTTTAGAATTAACCCTTCGCCCTATGATTTATTTCGTAACTATAATCGATACAAGACAAAAGCACTAATAATTGACCAGTTAAGGCAAATTTTCTGCGTGAATAAATAGTAAACCTTACATTATGCAACAAAGCAAACTTTCTTCAAATAGTTACATTATTCGAAGTTTATAGATACTTTGGAAAATTCGATACTTGCGGCAGACGTTGACTATCCTTTAAAACGAGGAAACTAGTAATTTACCGTATGTTAGCGGTTAATCAGTTACAGTAAAACCAAGAACACTGAAGGTGATTACTTTGATATTGTTTATTTGCGACGATTATGAGAAATTGCAAGTAAAAAGACGAATACGAATGAGCAGAAGTTAATTCCACGGTAGAAATCAGAGACATACAACCAACGCCAATGAAATGAATTGTTGGTTTTTGCGGTAAACAATTCAATTCAGGTGAAAGCGTGTCGGAATTGGACCGATGAATGCTGCAGCATATTTACCGCGCCTTTCTCGAAAGATTATTACTTTTAGAAATCATATTTTTCACGTTTTCCCGAAAAATGGTCAACTACTGGTACCAGGTCAATCACCGGTGCCTTTACCATACTTCATTGTTAATAATTTATCAGGGAAAGAAAAAATGTTTATCCTTATCCTGCGTCTACGTTTACTCCAAAGATTAACAATTGATAATAGAAAAGTAATATTTAAGTTACATTTAAAAACAATAAACAACATTTACATTTCTCAAATTGAGTTTACGGTTTTCGACACGAGTCTGACAGGATATTGTAGGTCAAGGAGTTAACGTGATACATAATATCTAATTCTCTTTTCAGGGGAACTGGCTCTCGGAGGACGCCTGCTACCATCTCAGTGATTTGCTCCAGAAGAACAATAATATCCACACCCTGCTGTTGGCGGGATGTCGCATAGGGCCAAAAGGTGCCTGGAGGCTTCACGACGGGATTATGGATAACGCAACATTGACCAAGTTGGACTTGTCTGATTGCAATATCGGCGCTGAAGGGATGGAATATATAGGAGCCGCGGTTTGCCAAAATCGCGGCCTAATGGATCTTTCTTTGAACGATAACCATTTGGATGAGTCTTGCGCGAACCATCTACAACAGTTGATCACGTCCTCCGATACACTCACTTGCTTGAGGCTGTCCTGGAATTCTTTGTACACCGCAGAAACATGGAGCAAATTGTGTAGGGCAATTGAAGTGAGCGACACGCTGGTGAACCTTGACTTATCCTGGAATGCCCTGGGCCAGGAATGCGCGAACCATCTTCGGTTGTTGTTGTCCCGTTCTCCACTTCTGAAGAAACTGAATCTGAGAGGTACAACAGTTCGGTTGTCTGCCGCGTACATCAGGCGTGAAGCTTAACATGACACTTTCCAGGGAACAGGTTTAAAGACAAAGATGCTGCGATCATTGCTAAAGGCTTGTCGAGGAACAAAGTACTCGAGAAGCTGTATTTAGGTGACAATCCTTTGAAAGCTGATGGAGCGATTACGCTGATTCGGTCAGTCACTCCGCAAATGACTCCGGAAAGCGAGCTGCGCCTTTTGGATTTGACCAATATCTGGGCGAAGAAAGACGTATTGGTTGAGCTGCAAACAATTGAAGAGAGCAGGCCCTGGCTTAAAATTAAACTGGGAGGAATACTAAGCAATTATGAAATTAAGGGTCCGAATGTGGCAATGTTGCTTTTCAAGAGAGCTAACTTCGAGGCGATGAGGCCAAAGAGGAAAAGACAACGCAAAAATTTCGGTCACTTTGTGCTTTCTCTGGAGGAGAAGTCTGTTTCTAGAAGTACGTGTATAATTTATTTGATGAACCGGAAATTGTACGGACCGTCTTAAGAATCAGTGAAGATGACAAGATGAATGTTGAAATACTAATAGAACAATTTGTAAAAGTGCGTGATCTTTTAATAGTTATGAAATTATTTTATACGGTTAATTTTACTTTGCAGCAGGCTTTATGGAGCTTGTAAAGAACTTTAAACTCAAGTTATCTCCAACTTTGGTAGAAGAGATTGCTAAGGAATTTATTGGCCCAAAGAATACTGTAGATCTAAAACTATTGAAGTCAGTTTATATGAAACAATATCCAGAGACAGAACCTCTACCAGAAAAGCCTGAAAAGAAGAAAAGAAAACGGGATAAAAGCAGCAAGTCAGAAAAGAAGAAGCAAGTGAAGATAAAAGAGAACAACAGCAAATAATATTTAATCTTTAAAAAAAAGAGATTAGGTGGTTATTTAGACTACTCTAAAATTAGACCAATATATTAAGAAAACATATGGATTTATTATGTTCTGTTGACATTATAGTAACAGTTTTTTAAGTAAAAAAAACAATAATCTTACTTCTCCTTTCATCAGATGGAAAATAAATAAAGTAAAAAATTACAACACTAATGGCATCGATTACATATTTGTTGTTACTTCTTTCAGCATTAGTCTATGTAAAATATTCTTGCAGAAATATCATCCACAATCCAGTTTATCCCTTCTACAAGATTTTCTCCAGTAACTGCTGAACATTTAAATATTTGCCAATGATGTGTTTTAATATTCGGTAATTCCAAAACTTCTGCAATATCAGATGCAGATAATGCTCCAGGTAAATCTTGTTTATTTGCAAGTATTAAAAGACTTGCACCTTCCAATCTTTCTTCTTTTAAAAGTTTATATAACTCTATTTTGCAATCTTCCAATCTTCTTCTGTCTGCACTATCAATTACCCAGATAAGTCCATCAGTGGATTCAAAGTAATTTCTCCAATAGGAACGTAATGATTTCTGGCCACCAACATCCCATATATTAAGCTTGTACCCACGATGGTCCAAAGTTTTGATATTAAAACCAAGGGTTGGTGATATTGTATCAATTGGTTCTCCATTGATTCTTTTTAACACTGTTGTTTTACCAGCATTGTCCAAGCCTCTATAAAAATGAATGTTTATAACATATAAAAAATATTTCATATTAATTATCTTATAAATTATATTAATTATAGTTAGTAGATTACAAATGTAAATTTTATAAGAAATATGAACAAATTATCATCAGTCAAATTGTACTTCTTCTAAAAAACAAACTGTTTTAACGAAAGTGACAGCAAACATTCAGCTAACCTTAAAATTATTCAATTATATTAAAAAATGAATACATACAACATTAAAATGCGCATTTCTTTTTCCTTTTGTTTCAACTTTTTAAGTACTGTTAATAAACCCATAGCAATTTACATAAACAGCACCAATGATTTAAATTTTAAATATACAAAGACGCGATGTTTAGATGAGAAACACTCACGACTTGTCAAACGAAGTTAACCTATATCGATCAGCAACTATATTATACTGCATTCAATTGTAATCAAACATTTTCAGTGGAAAAATATGGTAGAAATAATCAATAACAGTAGTAATTAAAATAATCCTTATATTCTTTCCTTGTAACAATTTACAGAAGATAATTAAAAATACGAAGGAAAATAAATATTTTAATTCATTCATGTACTGTAAAATAAAATAGAGCTAAATGTACATATTTATGAAGATAGAAGTATGTCTGTCACTTTATTAATAACATCTGGATGACACAATGCATTTATAATATCTTCAGATAACTTATGAATTGAAGTATCTTGAGCATTATTATCAGATTTAGAAGTACAACTCAGTACTGACACGTCACTGTTGTTAGGAAATCTTTTTCTTTTCATTCTTAAAAGTTCCTTCATTTCTGATGTTTCAAGATCCTTTACCATCTTCACATATTGTGGATATTGTTCTACTAAATCATCTGCTGTCCATTCTGTGTGTTTTACCTTTTTGTGAGATAAATCTATATTTTCTATATTTTTACATTCTCCAAGAGCAACACTGAGCTATTGAAAAAATTTTAATTATTATATAAAAAATTCTATTATACACAAAGTGTTTATATTTATTTCATTATAATTTACCAATTTTATGCAATAAGATAATGAAAAATGAGCTTCTTCAGATTTCTCAAGAAGATTCTTGCCAATTCTAGCTACTATTAATTTAACCAGGGCTTCTTTAACTCTTGACACACTGTCTGTTACAATTGGTAACCATGTATTTACACTAACAGAGAATTCCAATGATTCTACATAATGCCACCAACCAGCAGGTACAAACAAAACATCTCCTGGCTCAAGGATTATTACTTTTGCCTTATCTTTCATTTTTAATATGTTTATTTCATCTTCTTCAGTAGGGCAAAAGAAATTGTATTTACTATATACTGTTGATTCTTCATATGGAACCCTTGTTACATGGAGAACATCACTTGAACTTGGAGGAAACAATAACCATTCTTTTCTGAAATAATTTGTTCACAAATAATGATATACAGTCATAAAACATTTAAGTATTTAAATAGAACTAAAATTGAACATAATTAACCTTCCATGAATCTGTGCTATTAAGTTGCAGCCATAAGAATCTTGATGACAATTTGTATGCGCACCCTTGCTTCCTATCCAAAGCGTGGAATCAAAACCTGTCTTCTCAAAACCAAACCTTTTCCAATTTACTGAATCTATTATCTCTGGTTTATCTTTAAACCATTCATGCATATATTTGTAATCAAAATAATACCATTCTTTGTTATCTTCATTACAATTAATGTGTTTAATAAACTCTGATAATGTCATTGAAATCACAGGACAGTTCACCTCCCACTGTGGACCCTAAAAGCACAGATCTGAAACTTATTATGTTAATATTTAAATTATATATACAAGCAATAAAATATGTAAGGGTTAATAAAAAAATATTTATAATTTACCTTGGTTTTGGCATTACAACCAATTCGAAATGGTAGCTTAATGTCGCCAAACTTTTCAACCAGTTGAGACAAATTCCAATCTAATAATTTCCAAGTGTATCCATCTGTCATATTTTGTAACATTCGTTGAAATAATAATGGCTCTTTGATTTCTAAAATAGCATTTTTTAAAACTTCTTCCGATGGACAATTCAATTTTTCCATAGCTACCAAGTTTTTATAATTCTTTTTTATGAGCACAATATATTTTGTGTAATAAATATCAAATTATAAAATACACACATAAAAATGTACACACTACAATCGTGTTGTTCACTTCCAGAAATGTGGTTATGTTACCACACATGACGCCAGAAATTGTCTCAGTACGAGGTTAACATTTGCTAAGTAGATGTACAAATAAAGCTCTAATTAAATACGACAAATTAGTAAAAATGTCATATTATACAAAAATTTGTGTAAATCATTTAAGAAATCTATCAAATGCACTTTTGTCTAATCACACTAATGTCCTGATGCAACAAACTCGGGTATTGTTATTGAATCAGTAATAATTAAACTATGGATTTTATCAGATCATATAATAACGCGATATAACATACAAATCTTAATAAAACTTTAATCCGTCTTTTATTCTAATTATGGTCAAATCAAGCTGTAATATAAAGTATTAATTTTTAATACATTCTTTTTAATAGAAAAGTTTCGATCATTGAAGTTTACTAAAAATCCATAGTTCAGTAATAACCATTAAAAAAACAACCATAAAATGATTCCAATAAGTAATTATCTTTCTTTTCTAGAATACATACATTCTAAAAAGAAGATATCCAGTACCTCTTCATAAAAAAGATCAAAAGCCACATAAATTAAAAGCTAAACACTTTATTTATGATGTTATAGAAAATAAAGCTATTCAAAAACAACCAGATATTGATTTAATTTTATTAAAAACCATATCAGGCATAGGTGTAAAAGGACAGAAGATTTCAATAAGAGCTGACAAGGGTTATAATAATCTGTTACTGCCAAAATTGGCTGTTTATGCAACTCCTGAAAACATAGAGAAATATGCAGTTAATACAATAGAAACCGTGGAAAGCAACTATCTAAGTTCTGAGTATGTTACGATGACAGTAGACGCATTATCACATTTGTACTTAAATATAGTGATGAATATGCATATACCATGGACAATAGAAAAGTGGCATATCAGGACAAGTTTTCGTAAAACAGGCATTGTTGTTCCTGAAGATGCAATAACTATGCCTAAAAAAGAAATATCTGGGCCAGACTTATCTATTGAAAATAAAGAATTTTATGTCACTGTTAAGATTAATAATCAAGAGGAAGTAAAAGTTAGATGTAAAATACATCATTGGACTTCTGATCGAAAAAATAAACTTCCATATACCACGGATATATGGAATTTACCTAATATAGCAGTCTTTCCAAAAGATCAGGAAGTCATAGATTCACTCCCAAAGCATCGTTTATGTATGAAACAAAATAATGATAATTAATAAATGTATTAAAATAAATAAAATCTGGTTTGAAAACAATTTTCATTTTGAGAATTTTATTGCCTTAGTAAAAATAATTCCATTTGCTTTTTTTTAAATAGTTTTGATTAAAATAATTGATAATATAATATGAATAAATTATATATTTTTACAATTAATAAGAATTTTGATAATAAATGATATGTGTTAGAAACTTTAAATTATTATGTATAAGAAACTCAGTATAAGAATTCATATACAATGGCCAATACAAATACAATGAGCAATCAATAAATGAAATCTACAGTTTCAAACTATATACCAGCATTTACTTCTTAATTGGTTAACCTGACTTTTTTGATAATCTTTAATGATCTAAATATGAGCTTGAACAATCTCTAATTCAGTATTTAAATATGGAAGACAAACATTTTGCATGGGATGAAATTTCTGATGGACTAATTTTGTTAAAGTAATATAATTTGTAAACAATTAGGATAATATTTGATATAGTTGGCTGAAATACTTAGATTTAAACTCAAATTCATATTTATTAAAATTAGTATTTATTCAGATATTTTTTATGTTTACATATAAAAGTATACAAAAACCAGAAGATGAACAAATTAAAAGGCACAAAGGACCATCTGATCCCGTTCCGGACTCAAAAGTTTATTGTCCACATGCATACTTACTTTTAAACTTTCGTGAAACTTTAAGTCAACGTGAAAAGGTGATTAATTAAAAAAGTAAGAAATTAAAACTAAAATAGTACTAATGAATATCTCTTCCATTTTAGATAAGATTTAGAAGATACTTTTTAAGAAAAATACCTCCAACTGAACCAAATGTTATTATTTTACAAGACATAAAAGATCTTGTGCTATTTTTATTAGCAACTCCTATTAGTCCACAATTTATTGATTTTTTTCATTTGCCCATTATGGATCGATTCTTAAGAGCAGCAATAATTTATTTTCAATATTATTTGATAATATGGGAAGAATTAATGGAAGAACGTGCAGCTACTATGAAAAAAGCTCCAAATCCTTTAGCTCAAGGCTATAGATCCAAATATGCACATGACATGCAAAATCTTCGTTGTATCTTAGGTAGAGAATATGCCGATTTAATAGTAGGTTGTCAAGATAGCATGCAATATCACCATATGACTGGTGGAAAAAAGGGAATGACATCAGTAACTCAATCCCAAGGAGAAAAAGACTTAAGAATGTTTGAGGTATTGATTGGTATAACACATCGTATAATTTGGATAGCTTTACAACGTAAATACTTTAGTTTAATTGGTAAGCTACTCTACCAGAAAAGAAACTTTAATGAAGTACTTTAATAAGGTAATATTTATTTTAGAAATAGAGTTACATAGATTATTTAGAAGCGAAGCATACAACATAGCTAAGAGACGAACTCCCAGTCATGTTGTCCCAGATATGTTAGAAGATGATACTTTGATACTACAAGGAAATAAAATTCAAGAGAAACGAAGATTATTAAGAAATTCTCCTGTTATAGAAGAACTAATATACTCAAACTGTGATTATCGTCTCTTGTCTTTAGGTATGTTAATTTTCAAATAATATTTTTGTTTTTTTCAACTAGATTATTTCAAATAAACTATGCTAAACAGGTATGGGAAATGATGTCAATGATGAACGAATTCTTTATTTGCAAAATGCTTTGTTGAGTAAAGAAGATGAATTACATGAATTGGGCATTAATATAGGAATTTTAGGAGATAATAGAGATAATTATGACTTGATGTTAATACCACTTGAAGAAGAAAAAGGCTCTGAAGTACAAATATTAGAAAAAGGAACATATGAAGTAAGAAAAAGTATAAGAGATGCATCAGATTTAGTAAGTTTTTCCAATATATACCCTTTTTCATATAAATTTATATTATAAAGTATTGATGTTCTATTCGCGTTTTTTAAAATTACAGGAGAAAATTATAACAACTCAGAAACTTCCATCATTTCAAACTGATTTTAAAGTAACTTGCAATTTTCCAATTATGCTAGGTGATATTTCGCCAAATGGTTATGAAAATAATCGCAAAGAAGCAAGAAAAAAATGGTATATTAGAGAAATTAAACGTCATCATGTTATAAATACTGATACATACTCTATAATAACAACATAAATTGTTACACTAAAAGGTGTGTAATTTTTTAAAATTTACTCATTTTTAAATAAAAATTCTTGTTCTTTAAAATCAAAAATGCTCAATTGTCAAAAGTTTATGATGAATCGATTAAAACAAATTATACTTTATCCATTATTGTACACTACTTACCAAAAGTAAGTTGCATTACTTATTAGGGATGTCTGACTATTTATTAGTCAATACTACTTGTGTTCAGTATACAGACAGATATAAATAATCAGAGAAAAATATAATTTGTTACATATATCTAAATATTAATGATATTGTATACTATCAATCCATAAGTTTTTCAAAATCTGACTAAACTGATATAAACCATATACATTAAATATGTATTTGAGCTGTTGACAAGTAGTATTCATTAAGGATGTATGATATATGAAAAGACTATACCTGTTGCTCCCAAAAACACTTGTGTCAGCAATTGTATAATTAAGTATTGTAAATATTAACCAATATACTTTTGCATTCTTATTCATTCACTGTATCTTTGAAAGTATAGTAAAAAAATGAATACAACATAAACCATGGAACGCCATTTCAAATGTGTTTTATTATCCGTGAAATTTTTTAATATGAATATGGATTGATAACAACCAAATAATTGAATACATGTGTCTACATTTGGTTTTTCAAAAGATGTTAACATTTATATTAAATTTATAGTTTTAAAGTAATGTTGTAATGTCTAATAAAATGAAGATACAAGTATTCAAATAAATTACTTCAATATTTCAAACAAAGTAGATTATGATAAATTATTTTATATTACTCACAACATTTATTAAATAACATATATATTGGCTAAAGTATCAATAAGAATGTTTTAATTAAAAATATTATTAAATATAGACACACACATTCAAAAAGACAATGCTTTGAGGGACACGTGATTGGAGTGGATAAACTGAGTACAATAAGACAATGTAAAAAATATGCTTATTATAATTGGTAATGCCTAATAATGAGTACTAATGCTGATATTTTACAAGGAGATACACATATAGGTACATTTGAAGCAATGCATTTTTTTCACGATTAAATTCTGCATTGTTTTTTTTTATAAATAATTGCTGTACCTACTTACTACCATTATATATAATAACAATATATATATGACATTAATTTAATCCCAATATGGGTTAAATTGTAAATTATATTGTTTTTGTTTTCCATTTACAAGTGGCAAATTTACTGTTCATTTGCGACGGTTTACATTTAGCTAAAACATTTATTATTCAAGGTATACTTCATTGCGACCTATTATCAACGAATAAGTGACACGCATGTATGAGGTACAAAAATGACATACCTCATTAATCGTATTTGGCACAGAGACTTTGATAATAAAAACTAGATCTCATACAAATCTGTACAATCTTGGTGTTACATGTGAAATGCATTTTATGTCGTTTTATTTTGTATCCATACTTATTTATAATCTACAAAGTGATTCATTGCATCTTTTATTTGATCTTCATTACGATATGTATTAAAATTATGATAGTTTCAAGAATATTGTGTACATTTTGCAGCATTACATTTACACAGACAACACTAGTATCAATACTATAACTATATTGCGATATTTTAAATGTCAAATGGCAGTAGATAATCCGGCCGTCCATACGATCAACAAGAGCAATCTAGTTTTACTCTCAGAATCTGTGCCTCAATTTTTCCTTAGAACTTATTTCTTACTATAATTTCATATAATAAAATAATGCACAGCGTGTCATCTTTTCTCATAGGCTGCAAGAATTTTAAACATGTTATAGTTACTAAAAATATCAAAAAATGAAACTATTTCGGCACTTCTTATTAATTTAAGTTTTTAATTGTATGTTACAGCTACCTATCACTGAACATTTATCTATATGATTATAATACAAAATGAAGAAAATGATGATGATTATGCATATATCAGTAAGATTATTCGCGATTATTTGCATACATTGTTACAGCAGATAGATGATGAAAGATGAATGACTATTTATATGTAGATGTAGTTTCTTAAGTTCAGTCATGTGCCCGTGCAACTGTATTCTATCTGTAAAGCTTCTCAATGAAAAATAACTTGTTAAAACAACTTTATCATTTGTTTAAACAAAAATTAAGTTACATTCTTATTAGAACATGCATCGAATGTAGTACTTGTACTCAATTCTTGGATCAGACTCTAAATAAAAGTTTGAATCTTACTTAAAACTCATCACAACTTTTATATAAATTGCAGAATTTTCATAGTTTAATAAAACTGTTAAGGACACCTTAAATTCACAGTTGCTTTTAGAATAATTATTGATTGTAAAGAAACTATAAATCCAATGTTCATGTACAATAGATGTACATTCATCAATTTTTACTTCAATGTTTAGAAAGTATTTATCAATACATCTTACAAGTATGTCAGGATGTTTGGAAAAGAAAAGAAAAATTATCATCGGTACAAATAATATAAATTTAAATAACTTGTACGCTTAATTAATATCAGAATCAAATTATAAAATAATAAATAAACATGAGTCTATGTACCCTGAAAAATTGAAATATATTATGACATTGCAAGACTGATATTTTTCTTTCAGCTTTCATACATTTCATAATTAAAAGAAAAACATTTCAATTGCTATATTATTGTAACTACCTAATAGTAACTGAAGTTTTAAGAATGACTCAAAGCAATTTTTACATGAATTACAAATATAGTATAAAGAATATAATAAAACTGTAATTATTTATCAGAAAAAAGAATGGAATTTTCAGCACATAACAGGAAATATGCTATCTATTAATGTAGTCGTGGTATGATGTATTTAATGATGTTTATGCTAAATTAATAATTTTACTATTTTTTTTCACTTGCTGCATGTCAACCCCTGTCATTATCTTGAATTTATATAGTTAATATATAATGAAAGTCAATAACACAATCTTACATGTAGCAGCACAGACACAAACAGTATTTCTCTCTAAAGTATAAGGAACACACGCGAACTCATTTTCAAATTATTATATTATTAAAATAGACGACGCTACGAAGCAATATCCGACATAAGTTGCGCCAACAATGCTGGCTCTAAAAGTCCATGCGTTTGCCCCATTCTTTCCAAATTTCGTACATCCTTATCTACTGCCTCTAGTGCCCGTTCTAATTCTTCTTCTTCCTCCCTTGATGGTTCATATTCTCCATTTCTACTTTCTATAAAAATGATAATAACTTTTGTATTATTCTATTCTGAAAATTTAAAAAACAATCGATTGGTCCATATAATTTTGCGAAATATGAAAGTTACCAATGAATAAATCATTAAAAGCATCTGCAGGTAAATTATTGAGCACATTGCCAAAGTCATGCTCCGCAGAATCCAGAGATGGAAATACTTCGTGATCTGTCAGATCTACTTTAAGTCCACCTCCAAGACCAAGTCCTAATCCTAGATTTAAGTTAGAAGAATGTGAACTTCCTTGAGTTATCGAATTTAAATTGTTCAAAGTTTTTGTCTGATTTTCACTAGAATTTATTTGACTCAAGTACTGGTTTTCTTCATGTACTAAGCTAGAACCTTTAGTATCGAGCTTAGTTACAGGAGGCCGTTTCCGTTTCTTTGGCCTAGATTTTGGTTTAGGCCTAGGAATTGTTGGGGAAGCTGGTTTCTTACGAGCTTTCTTTGGTTTAGACTCTTGAGCTTTACGATGGTAGTTATCTCTTTTTCTTGCATGCTCTGGACATAAGGGTAATTCGTGTGCAACATCAAACACAGGAATACAACACTGTGTATTATCACTAAACTTGGCAGTGCAGTGTTCAAATAAAAGTTGATCTCCATTTAGCATAATGTGCCGAGAACAGTAACGAGTGCAGGGCAAAGATATTTGTTGACATCCTTCAGCTCCACAGAGTCCACCAACTAAAAGCGGTCCATCTACCACTTTGCTTGTACTTGGAGAGTCGGTTAAAGCTCTTGCAGTAGACGCAGGGTCTTTATAAGCAGCTTCCAGTAAACACCTAGCTTTATCACGTAATAGAGTTTCTGAATCTGTCCCACCTCTATGTAACTGAATTAATCGACGTCTTAGCTGAGAACGTAATTGTGAAAGACGTGCAGAACGATTCAATGTTGTACTAGCTTCACCGGAAAACCAATAACGTTGATAAACTGTTATCTCGTCTCCACTAGAATCACTATCTGATATTTCATCACCAGCTCTAGGATAATACAATAGGGTATGGTCCCGACTTTGTCTTCTAGATTTTAATCTTCGTAGATTCTGAATGTGACGCTGTTTCTGTTGAATCGCTTTTGCAAATTTATAATCTATATGATCACCATCACCGCTACCACTGCCACCACCACCAACATTACTGTCAATGTCTAATTCTACGGCACGATCTTGTACAGTTTTGTACTCTCCATCTGCTATGGGTGTTATCCTTATTCTTTGTTTCATACATTTCCCTTTGGATTTAATAGTTTTACAACTTTGCATTACTTTAGGATTTTTAGGTGAAACTATTGTAACATTCCTTCCTGCTGTTGTAGTGAATGGCTCTGGTTCACTGAAAATATAGGGATCGACATCTTGGCGAGCCTCTGTTTTCAGTAAAGCCTTTAAGCGATCCGAAAACTTCAGTTTATTGTCCATGTTTGAGTTTTCGGATATAGGGACCTTCATTGATTACCGCTTCTCTTGACTCCTGTTCCACCTGCATTCTCAAACTCTCCCAATCAACTTTCTTCCTATCTAGATAAAACTTAGTTCACGCCATGTGCCAAGATCCAAGTCCAGATAGTACTATTTCTGAATTCATAATACTGAGAATAAAAAAATAAAAAATTATTTTTATTGTATTATATCACAGCTTGATGTTTTGTATTTAAATTGGAAACATTGATACTTATATGCATTAAAACGATATAACTAATAAAATAAACCTTTGTACAAAGTATAATAAATTCTAAAATAGTTATGTGCACAATTTGTATTTGAAAATATCAATATGATGCGCACTTGGCTATTTCTTATTTACATGTATGTGCATATGTACAAAAAACTTAGCTTTGTCATGGACTCTTATTTTCATAGAAAGATTAAAATTCACTGTTTCTATTTAGTATCAAATTCTTTGATGCAATGTTTTACAAAAAGATCTGAATATTTGATAATAAAACTTATTCTATGTTTTAAAAAGTGCAAATAATACTTTAACAGTTAATAATATCTATTAGGGGTTAAAGCTATGTATCACTTCTAGATTTAGATTCATATGTTTCTATACATAATATTGTATGAGATAATTAATAAAGTCTCCTGGTTCAAGCAATTAGCGTGAACTTAGTCCATGGCTAGATCAGGATAAAAACAATCCTTGCCTCGCATAGCAATTCACATTGAATGTATCCTACACATCTTCAAATAATTGCATTGTATAAAACACAGAAGCATCGAATATTGACTTTAGGAGTTCTAGTAATCTCTGACAAGTCGAAGCCATATTATTAAGCTTTTTATCTCTAGTGTTGACATCAGTACACAATGCTGGCTATCAACACTCTTTGGTTATGTTCACTCCTTATATAGACAATAAGACACCGTGCGAAATACTGCAACCAAGTTTGAATAATACAGTCAGGAAAACTCATCAGATAAGTCTCGTCACATATTTGTACCCATTAACAAGGGTAAACTTTCAATGAATACGTTCCCGAAGTTTTCTTTATGTATCCAATGTTTCGTTTAGTTTAACCGAGGTTGGGGCAATGTAGTTTACTTGTAATAGTAATGGAGGTTATTGTCCAATCAGGAGCAATCTGATCTTTTTCTTGAGAAATACACTCCAACAAGATTAAAGATTCACGCACAAATTTCAGCATTCATCGATAATAACATTAGAAAGACATGTCAGATGTAAGGGAAGCAAAATGGCGGACACTGCACACACGAACAGTTTCTGATGCGAAAAATCTTTGAATTCACTGTATTATCACTTTGAATTCGGTATACAAACATTTTATGTCCATTCTAAGCCTTAACCAATTTCATGTAATATTATACACAACCGAATTCTATCATGATTTTAAACATTCTTGATAATAAAGTGTAGATTGTTCTTCGGCATTCACTTTGACATAACCTTTTAGTTGCTTTATGTGTGCTGTAGATCCTATTCACTTTATTCTGATTCCCAAAATTGTAAAATACAAAAAAATTCAACTAAAAATGTTACGCATACATATTACTTCAAGTCACGTTTCAAATTTTGATGTTCAATCGTTTATATATGACACGGGTTTTCATGTTGCATTGTATTCACAAGCAGCTATATACACTTTATATAATTTCATAATTCTTTTATATAAGAAATTCCAAAATTTACGCGATACATATGTATATATATATATACATATTTATATAAATAAATTGTATTACTTCATAAAATTAACAATTATAAAACGTACATAATTCTTATATATATATATATAATTATATATATATGTATATAATTATTATATACATAGCATAATTATGAATTACCTATGTGTTTATATATATAACATAAACA